CAGTTGGGGAGGAGTCCCGGGAGGGGGCAGTTAGGGGACAAGGAGCGGGGAGGGGGGTTGGATGGTGCAGGGGTTCTGAGGGGGGCAGTCAGGGGGCAGGAAGTGGGAGGGGTTGGATAGGGGGCGGGGGTCAGGCTGTTTGGGGAGGCACAGCCTTCCCTACTCGACCCTCCATACCGTTTTGCAATCCTAATGTGGCCCTTGGGCCAAAAAGTTTGCTCATCCCTATAGATAGCAAAAAGAAGGGTTAAAACTCCTTTCTTGTCTATCCCCAACTTTCCTATCTTCCTTTCTCCAGTTTCCCATTCTGCCGTCCTTTACCGTTGTTACATGACATAAAAAAGAATCACTGGAAGAGTTGCTTTCTTGAAACGCTGAACGAGGTGCTTTATTATAATAAGGAAAACAGAACTATCTTTAAAACTACTCAGTCCTTCTCTTTGAATTTTTTCCTAGACTTTTCCGCAGCCCTCTCCTACCTGGTTTCCTGCTACAGATTTAATGAAACACTAAATATATCCTCACACTCCCCTTCTTTTTTTCACTAAAATGTCCTTGCTCCTAAGCTGAGGAACGTTCTACTTGGGAATTTACCATATTTTCCTTCTCCCCGCCCCATCCAACTGTTAACTTCTTCCCTAAGGTTTGTTAGTACTCTATATTGAATGGATTGCTTATGAAAAGGGTTGTATTAGCTGTGGAGAAAAGCTTGAAAAGTTTCACCCTAAAGTTGCAATCAACACAAAATAAAGAAAAAGAAATCCTTAGTGATTATTTTTTTTAAAATCTCAGTGCTTTTAAGACAATCTCAGGGGGCTAATTTATGATTTTGGAGCATTTGGGGTAGCAATGCTGCAATAACACTGGGGACAGCTGCTGTGGCAGCTTTCCCCTACTGCTGTGCCTTAATCTTGTTCAGAAAGGATCACGTCTAGGGGAAAGAGTAGTTCAGCCCCCCATATCAATTCAATCCTTGGTCCTTCTGCTGGCAAAGCTGACAGAGGTGCCAACAGATGTCAGACATGCGGGTGATTTTCATAACACAGACAACTGTGTAGCAAAGAGAAGATTTCATTATTCTACAGCTTCTTGTGGCATTTAGAAACTAGCTTCACTCACCCACTTCCTTTACTCTGCCTCTCAGTGTCCCTTGTACACAGTCATCTGTCATGGTTACAAGTCAAGCTAAAATCATAGAAACTGGAGATGGAAAAGACTTAGTAGGTAACTTTGCGTACCCCTTGGCCAATATAGGCTTGCTCCCAAGTGCACGTTCAGACTAATTTTTAAAGATTCATGCAAAAGGATTTCTATCATTTCCTTTGGGATTCTATTCCATGATTTAGTAGCTATTCCTGATAGAAAATTTTATTCAGCTCACATTTTTCTTTGTTCATTTGCATCTGATTTCTCTTAGTTACGCTTGCTTGGACTAATCCAAACAATTCCCCTCTCTCCTTGCTATTCCTACCTTTTAAACACTATGATGTCCTGTCTAACTTCCAACTTTGGTAACTAAATTCGAACTACTACTGTTTCAGTTGGTGCTTCCCTTCTCTTCCTAAAAACAGTTGTGCAGTGTTGTGTTGTTAGCACATGTGTCATACCAGAAGTGGCTGCATTTCAGTGGTGAATTAGTAATATCAATGGGCACAGTTGTAGAGATCTTACCCACTTGAGTGCTCCCCTTGAAATCAACATGAATACTGGTGAAGCAAGGTATTAATCAACATGAGTAAGGACTGCAGAATCAGGGCCTCTGTACTATGCACAGAATATACTCTCTATACTATTTAACATTTAAAGACCATTGGGTTCCTTCATAATGAAAAACGACATTATACATTATTTTTTGTGTATACTAGACGAATTGCATGTAAAAAAAATCTTTAAGCAGTACAATTTTCTTTTCCCCAGTAAACTCAACCATGGACGTCATCCTCCTAATGCATAGCTGTTGGCTTTGCTTCAACATTAGAATTATATTACACATGAATGCTGTGCAAACATGAGAGCTGAGTTCACTATTGTTTCTCCAAAGTTTTGGCAGGTATTTTGTCAGTTCCCTAATGATGATTTTAACAGCTGGTAGCCTTTTTTGCAAAGCCTTTTATAAAAGGCCCTAAATATGTGTAGATCTTCATTAATGCGGTAGTTGCTCCCAGAGAGATTTATCTGTCAAACATAGTTTCCTATTGTACAAAAGGTATTGCTGTCTAGCTAGTGACACAGCACTTATTATTAGACCTGAGATTTCTGACAGGCACCTGCTAATGAAAAGAGAAACTGGCGAATTACTATTCAAAAAATAGATCTCTAGGGAGGTAGTATAGGATATATGGAATAAACAACATACAGTAGCTAACACTGAAAGCTGTGTATGTGGCAGCTTTGTAAATTGCAGAGGACTATTTCAGGCCATTGCAAAGAGCAAAGGGACAAAACGGTACCGTAAAATAAACCAGGCATCAGCTACTAGCTGCTGATTTATGGATAAATCAAATCTACTGAAAGATTTTTGCCAAGGGAAGATCTTTTCTTTCACCTTCACAAGTCTTCTATGGGCTCCTCTGCTGCCCCCTGATGGCACTGTAAAACCCTGCAATTGCTGGGTTGGGGAGCAAGCCGAATGTGGGAGTATATAGGAAATAATTATAATCCCTTCTCCTCACAACTAGAAACAGCAGAGGAGCTGCCTGGCTGCAGCAGAGGAGTTTGAGTAGCGATAGAGAGAAAAGGTGTGTGCAACAGAGAGAGAAAGAGATGGAATGAAAAGAAGCCAAGATCGCTTAAAGCCAGCTAACTGAAAGCAGAGTCCCTGGAAGCGGAGTATGACTATTGTCTAACACAGGATCCGACTTTCACAATATACTTTTGTCGAAGAATCTATTTTGTGATTTCTCATTCCAGACTTCCATTGGTTTAACAAGGTGAGTTAAGACAGCACTCAAAAGTCCTTTCAGGTATGAGAAATTCATTGGAAAGATGCTGATTTGCCAGGAATGTTTGCAGAATAAAGGACAATGTCACATTTTGTAGTTTGTCAGGAAGAAATGGACTGCAAACCAGTATGGTAGAAATGGTTTTCGGAATATTTAAAAAATCCTCAAGAGTCTATGCAGTGAGATGAACGTGTTTCTGTTGCTGAACGTTTTGGGGTCTTGGGGCAAAGCCTGTCTGATTGAGCTATCAGGAATTTTAGATCTACAGTGCAGCAAACTGAGAATTTAGAAAGCAACAGAGTGTCTTCCTGTTTTATCCCTCAACAGTGTGAGGTGTTTGGAATTGATTGAAAGTGCAGCTTATTTTGTGCAGCCAAAGTATATTTCAAGCAATCAAATAATAGACCAATTTGGAATCTGTTTTTTACTTGGATAACTAGTGATGGGAACAGTGTAAAAGGGGACTTACAAATGCAGAGGGGTCAGGCATGCTCACAGGAGAGAGGATCATTCTTATTTTGGTGAACACAACTCTGAAAATGTAAGGTTAGGACAGAAACCAACAGCAGCAAACCAGTTCAAAGTTAAAGCTACCCCGGGCTGAGAGTGGGCTGGGCTGGGTTTACAGAAGGGTCTGAGCTACAGAGACTTCTCATTACTGCCTGGAGGAATAAGGGACACAGTTTTAAAACAAGGGGAGCAATATCGGAGAAAGTGTTAGCATGCCATGAGTTTGCTGCAGTTCGAGCCTCCCCTGAAGCCAACAGTCTGGGGCAACCCTTGCCCCCCTCCATCAGCACAGCTGGCACAAAAGGGAGAGGGGCTGGAGCAGGTCAGCTGTGCTGAGACTGAACAGGATGTGGAGAGAAAATATATCCCCATGAGCTCTGCTCTATGGATTCCATCTTTGCTATCACATGGGAACAGCCGGCCAGGGAGTGACCAAAGGATCTGCAGCTATGTAGATCCACCAGCCAAATTTCCCCATATAGGGCCATGCAGCTGCTTTGACAGCTACTGTGACCATCCCCATGGTGGCTGAATAACTTGTCCCCTTGGCTCGACACGCTCTCCCTTACACCTGTGCAGCAGAAGAATAATTTCATTTGAGGCAATGAAGTACACCAGTGTAAAACTGAGGTAAGGAGGATCACAGTGTGGGCCTTTGTCTCTAACTTTACCCAGTTGTGTCTGGGTTTTTTATTACCTGTGGTACCATCAGGTGATTTTCTGAGACCCGCTGCAATATCTGTTGTGGGCAAAATGAGGGTGCCTATCTGCATTACTTTAGCATTCTATAAGCCTCTACACTCTACATTGATTCGGTGTAGTTTTTAGTGGTCATTTAAATTTTAATTTCTTATAATGGCAGTTTTCCAAAGGAAATTACCCCTTAATTTGCCTGGCAACTGAGTTGCTCCTTCACATCTGTTATAGCTAATTACATACAGTAAATGCTTTTGTCCGTAATATGCATTGTGCTCCTGCAGATAGGCAGTTTTTTGGCATGTTTACCCATAGACTTTATAGCACTTTCCAAAGTAGTAGATCAATCATATAGGTTTCAAATCCACTCTGATAAATGGGTGCATGTCACCTGTAATCTGGTGAAATATCTCGAGGTTATGTGCCTATGCCCTGTTGTGTGTGTACCTATGAAACCATCATGCCTTTGCTTTCTTAGTACTACATCTTTACATTTTTTAAGAACTCTCCCTCTGTGCAGAACTCAGTTTTAGCCATGTAATCAGATGGCTGTAGTTGCTGAGGCCAGCCACTAGATGGAGACATGATCACACATACTGAGTCTATTTATTGCATTTACTTTTCTTTATTGTAGTTTTTCTTTAAAACCAAAGTCATTTTAGACTGAGGGTCTATTTTGCTCTCTCTGTGTGGAAATATAGCCTGAACAACCACAGGAGTCGTTCATTGGTCCATGATAATTTGGTATTCAGAGGTGTGGGGTTTTTTTAATGCATTGTTAAAGGATAGGTAAAGTAGTTTTAGCAAAAAGTACAACTATAAAAGTATTTTCTGTTGATTGCATTGCCTGCTTTAAAAAAATAAAAATAATGGGTGTTTATATTTTTTCTCATAATGGCCAAAGTGATTTAATTAGACCATTTTATGGATATGTCACTAGCCATGTCTTGATTCTCAAAGCAAAGTCTAATTTTGGGTTTCTCAGGAATAAAATTTACAACCAATGCCCTCAGTTTAATCCATTCTTTTCTACATTTGAAACTGACCTCTCATGTGGTTTTATAAGAGTATATACTCTTACTTTGGTAAAGAGTTATGAAGCCTTTTGCTCTGCATTGTTGTTTTGAGCCAGTGGGTCTTGCTAGCATTTTGAAAATTGTATACAACCTACCACTACTACATTGTTACCGCCACCCATCTTTGCCCACTAAGTGCACTTCACTGCCAGTTTCTTTCTTTTAAAAACCTGTCAATTGTTGCAATCCAAAAGCACAATATTTGCTCTTCAGAAGTATCTTTATGAGCCAGGGATGGTTTAGTGGCATGTTGTGTGAGGGGGGAGGGGATGGGGTGAATTCCCCCAGAATCAGGTCACTTCTGACCAGCCATCATCTTATTGTGGCCAAATGAAAAGAGTCGGCTTTTGCCAAGTTACCACACAGCGTTTTCTGAGATAAAACAGTAGTGTCTTCTGAGAGTGGGGGAAGGGTGGTAACACTAGGGTTACCATATTTCAGCGAGCAAAAAAGAGGACGGGAGG